ACCTACTGAAGCCCCGAAGAAGGTATATGGGAGAAGATCATCATCAACTATTGCTGGAACAGCAACATAAGATATTCGTACAGGCCAGAAGAAGAATAAAGAGGGCCCAGAAGAAAAGAAATGAGAGGGTGAATGCTGAAAGAAAGGTGGTGGAATTGAAGGTTGGAGACCCTGTCTACTATAAAATCCACCAGAGAGAGGGAAACTGGACCAGAGATGGGAACCGTACTACCGGATAGTAGAGCAGACGGGCCCAGTATCATATGTAATATGGGATCAAGTGGCAGGACGAGCGAGGAGGGTTCATGCCAATGATCTGAAAGAAGGCTGAAATAAGCTAACCTGGAAATGAGCGAGCCGAGGCCTAAGAAGACAAGGAAAAGGAAGGTAACTCTGGTTGAACCGGAAGGAATGGAGACGGAGGAAGACTCCGAAGAAGATGAGGAGATAGGTCGACTTGACCAGATAAACGAAGCAGTCCGAGTGACGGAGTTGGAACCCTCAGCGGGGATTAGCGATGTTCAGTCGTCGACTGAATCAGTGCAGAGAAGACCCCGTGAGATCGCCATCACACCCCCATGTCCGAAGAAAAGGAAGAAAAAGACGAAGAGGTCCAATCAAGCAGTCGAAGGCTCTAAAAAGAGGCACCCTGAACAAGACGAAGGGTCCAGCGAGGGGAGGAGGAGGATCAAATACCCTTTTCCCAGCTTAGGGAAAGGATAAGGAACAGGAGAAGTTTAGACATAGAGTCGAGAGGAATTGAAGACATTCAAGGCGAAGACTCTAAACAGAAAGAAGAATCAGAGGATGAAGAAGAGGGCAAAAAAACCTCCTGGACGGGAGTTAAACACAGAAGGAAGGGTGGAGGTTGAGCAGGAATCACCTCGGAAGATGAGATCAGGGAGGAGAAGAACCCCAAATCTCAGTAGAACAAAAAAGGCTGTGCAGAATAGAAGCATTTAGTGTCAACAGATAACGACACTGGCTCGTCCAAGATCCTATTGGCTGACTATGGTAGATGTGAGTGGAGGGGATGGAGTCACGGGCTGCACCTCACGAGGAACGGAAGATCATTGGCATTATTGATTGGCCACCAGTGGTGTCATGAAGTACGACCTTTAGAGTGGGCGCCACGCACACCTGACCAGACCATTCTGTCTGCTAGGGGTTAGTTAGAGGAGGAAGAGCCGAACTAAGAGAAAAGTTATGAAATGATTGAGTGATGAGTCGAGCGAGACTAAGTGGTTGTGAAGAATAACAACAAGAGAATTTGTTACCTTTCAGGAATGATAGCTAGGTACAAGGTGGAAGCAGACTACATAGCATTAAATTCAGGGGAGAACGAAATTTATGTTGCTATCAGCTGAAGAAGCTAGAAGGTGTAGAGATGATACCCTGGGGACTTGTACCTCGTTGAGCCCTATCTACAAAACTGGTAACCGCAGAATGTGCATATTAGAATTGTTTGAAGAGAAGGGGAAGGAATCAAAAGAATCTGCCAAGTAGAGGTATTAACAAACTCAGCATTACCACAAGCTATCAGTGTTTCAGACGGGGTGTGGGCAGTAGCCACACAGAAACATTTCAGCCTGTCTAGGGTATGTGGGGAGAGTCCACAAGGACATTAAGAATAAGGCCACCGTTATCCCTGGTGACGCTACCCATGGGATGTTCGGCGGTTGGGGTGTCCATCTCCTTGCCCCCTATTACCAGATGGAAGAAAGGTATGAAAAAAAAGACTCACTCATAGAGATGATTGGTAGAGGCTTAGTCAATTGTACAGAATTATGGGAGCCGATAGTGAAGAGATTCTCTAATGTCACCTTAAATAAGATGCCAGTATTAATGAAGCCAATAGAAAAGATCGATATGGATCACTTAAGAGATAAGTTAAGTGCGTTGGGAGACGAAGGTGTAGCTTGGGAAGACGATGAGCAGATCGCGATAAGTTGGTCAATAGTAATGGGTACATTCCTAGTTATAGCCATCGGGGGTGTAATAATATGGAAGATTAAGAGTAAGAGAAGATTAGCGAACGACAGTCTAGTGAGCATGCAACAACTCGAGAGGGAGATGCCGAGCAGTGTTCCTTACTCAGACAGGACTGGCGAAGAAATTGCTGAAAGACCAATGGAGGAGGCTGGCGTGAGACCACCACGTGCGGCGGGAAAACCTCCCACGGCAGAGAGGAAAACATTGACCAAGAAGAACAAACCCTAGTGAACACATCTGCACCTACAAACACACGCACACATTACCTTGCATGTAAAAAAAAAAAGAAAATGAAGAGAACATTTCATTGCATGTAGAACAAAAGAAAATGAAAAGAACATTTCATTGCATGTAGAACAGAAGAAAATGAAAAGAACATTTCATTGCATGTAGAACAGAAGAAAATGAAAAGAACATTTCATTGCATGTAGAACAGAAGAAAATGAAAAGAACATTTCATTGCATGTAGAACAGAAGAAAATGAAAAGAACATTACATTGCATGTAGAACAAAAAAAAAAATGAAAAGAACATTTCATTGCATGTAGAACAGAAGAAAATGAAAAGAACATTTCATTGCATGTAGAACAGAAGAAAATGAAAAGAACATTACATTGCCTGTAGAACAAAAGAAAATGAAAAGAACATTTCATTGCATGTAGAACAAAAGAAAATGAAAAGAACATTTCATTGCATGTAGAACAAAAGAAAATGGAAAGAACATTACCCTTGCATGTTAGAAAGTAGAATAGAATTGCATGAGACAAATGCATGGTGCATGTTAAATGATGTAATTGGGTTTAGGTGTCATTTACGGGTAAATGACAAATCGGTTAGGGAGGATTGTGGCACCTTGCATTATTAGAAATATTCATAGAAATATGATTTAATTTTTTTTTTACTCAGTTTATTAAACAGGTTGTTAATTTTTTTTTTTTTTTTTTTTTTAAAAATAACTGAGTTGAAAATAATTCACTAAGAGAGTACTAGACGATCCTAAGGAAAGAAGAAGGAAAAGAAAGGAAAAAGGAAGGAAGGGAAAAAAAAAAAGAAAGAAAATGTATGACGCAAGACCCAATTGAGGGTGGAGATAGGAGTCAAAGAAATTGGAGATTTTATTTCAGCGTCTTGGCCGATTTTCGAAAAGTCATTTTGATAAGAATGTCGGTCAAAGCACCTAGCCTACTTTTTGCGTGGAAAGACACCTTATCAATTTGGATAAAGAGAAATTTTTGGAACAATAGAAACAATTTTAATCAGAGAAAAAGTGTCTTTTGGGTTGAGGGGAGTGACCGGTGGAACGATATACAGATTCTGACCTGTTAAGAATTGGACACCCACGTTAATAAAGTAGAGACATTTTCAATGTAGATAATTAAGATTTTCGACTATCAGGAAAAAAAAAAGAGGTAAAAAGAAAACAATTGCTTTTTTTTCACAGAGGGCGCCAAGAAGGCGGAAAAAGATCCTTTCTAAAGTCAAGTAATAATTAGCGGGGGCTGTTTGACAAAGTCCAGGTGAGAGAAAGCCAAAGATTGTCATTTTGCGTACGTGCAAAAAAGGGGCAAAATTGGATTTTGTTTTTTTTTAAACAAGAACGATGTAACCACGCCCGCAAACAGAGGGGAAAGGATGTTCGATCAATAACAATTGGTCGAATACGATCACGTGACCTGCGGAAGAAAAGGGAAAGAAATGTTCGATCAATAACAATTGGTCGAATACGATCACGTGACCTGCGGAAGAAAAGGGAAAGAAATGCTCGATCAGGAACGATTGGTTGAAAAGCGGTCACCTGACATACGAGAGACTAAGAGAGATGGATGTGCGCCGCCCCACCAAAGGTACTGCGAGGAAGTAGGGGCGAAAACAATAGCGATAATGGAGAAGACAGAATTAATGCAGCTTTTGAATTATCGAGAAAACCCTGACGCCGACAGACCCACCCCAGTTTGTTGCGGCGTCAATAAAAGCAGGACCCCAGTCGACAGAAATCAGTTGAGTTGGAGTTGCAGATGGAGTGGAGTTGCAGTTGGAGTTGAGGTTGGACCGCGGGCAGGGATAGAGCCTGAACGCGGCCATCAGGCCCGATTCCCCCTTTGCGGGCAGAAGAATCCTCAGACAAGAAATCCTTCCAGCCCAAGTCGAAGACAAGAAGAACTTCCAGCCCAAGTAGATGAAGAAGAAGATTGCCTGAAAGCCTGAGAAGAATTGGAGCTGCAGACAAGCCGAAAGTCGATGAGAAGTTAAAGTTCAGCTCCGGACGGCAGTGAGAAGAGACCACCTCAGACGACAGAGAGTTGCGGCCCAAGTTGAAACAAGAAATCTTCCACCAAGTTGAAACAGGAAAACTACCAGCCCAAGCAGACGAAGAAGAAGAAATACAACTCAAGTCGGAGAGAAGAATCAACTGCGAATGATCGATAGAAATTAGCCCCAGTGTCGAACTGAACCACACTCCGACATACATACATGATTCTAGAAAGTAGGTAATTCGACATTTTTCTATTGTGTGATAGAAGCTTGGTGCCATAGTCCACAGAGCGGGTCGGGAAATGAGAACAATTTTGTTTTTATGTAACGGACTTTAAGATATAAAAGGTTGTTACCCTTTTTTTTATCAGCAATTTTGTTTGGTGTCGTGAGTTTTTTTTTTTTTATTTGTGTTTTGCCACCCCGTCGGACTCAACTTGTATCGGCCCCGATCCCTGCTGGTCCCGTCTGTCTAAGATCTAAACACAGCGTGGGTAGACAGACCGGAGATCGGTATAGTTGCTTTAGTGACCAGGTATTGGAAGCGAGTCGGGAAAGGCGAGGCTGGTGATCATCTGACCAAAGGGTTGGAGCGGCACGCTTGGACCCAGGAGGAGCGACCAGGAGGAGCGACGTCACCGTTGGCGCCGTAACCAAAGGATCCGACACTGGGCCAGGTGTGTAACCGTCACAATAGTACGTAAAGCCAAATGGGACGGAAAATTTATTTGAGATTATATTGCGCCAATACTCCAAATGGAGTCTGTCTGTCTGTCTGTCTCTCTCCCCCTCTCTCTCTTTCTCTCTCTCTCTCGTTCGCTCGCTTGAAAACCATCAATCGAAATATCTGCTTTCATCTGATCTTGGACAATGAATGTACCAGCAAAAATTTTGGAACTTCCTGTTTATCGATCATTTTGTTATCTAATCTATTTCCTACTCATCATTATATAATTATTTCTTTTTTCTTCTCTTAAAATATTCTCTCTCTCTCTCTAGTCTCTCTCTCCTTTCATTTCCTCTCCTTATAATCTTCTTTCTTCCCTTTAATTTCCCTTCACCCCCTTTCCAGTCTTTTTTGTCCTCCCTTTTCTTCCCTTTTAAACATTTCTCATTTCCTCCCAAGCAAGGCGGTAAAGCCACTAAGACACAAAAGGGTTACTGGGTGAGGAAGAATTAGAAACAGAAACATTACTAATGAGCAGAAAGAAAAATAGTAATCAGGAGAATTACTGAGAGCGATTAACATTGTCTTTAATTTTTTCAGATTGAATTTGGCTGGGAAGCATGGAGCCGGAAAAAAAAACTTTAATTTTCGAGAAGTGCGAGAAAAAATCAACTGTTAGCCTAGAACTTATGGCTACATCTAGCCAGCTCAACTGTAAATTGATGAGATCTCAGCGCCAGTCTAGTACTGCGCTTAACTTCATAAAGTCTAGGTGCCATAGCAAAGAGTTCATCCGAACAATTAAGGATCATGAAAGTATTTATATAAAAGACAGAGAGTCAACCTTAAATGGCGGTGATAAAAAAAATAAATAATATATATTAAAAAGAATTAGAAGGGATATCATTAGAATGGCTGAGAGGAACTTTGTTTCTTATGACTTGAATTTGTACGCAGAGAAAGTCACTGAGTGGAATCATAATAGAATTGAATGAAAATTAAAGAGTAGAATGTTGTCTTGAGAGCTTAAACTTAATCCAATAAGTTCGTACAAAAAAGAAGTAATCCCAGAAGGCCCCATTTTTAAATATTGTACTGTCTTCCTATTTTCTTGTAATTGTGACCAGAATAGATAAAATAATGACACGGCGATTTTGGAAAAATCGAGAAAATTGGAAAAGACGGTAGTTAACAAATTTGGGCATTTCTATATTTGTTTAACATGCATCCGAAGACGCCATGTAGTAAGAATTAAAAAAAAAAAAACTGAACGCAAATATGATGCCGGTGTCTGGAAGAGGACATTAAGTGCAGTTGTAGGATACAAAAAGTCCGCTTGTCTGACATGGCGACTGAGGTTATTACCCTTTGCCCCCCCTCAGACTGTCTGCAAACTACTCACTGTATTTTCATTCTCTCAACTCTTGGCTTCCTATTCCACGTTGGTTTATTCACGTCATCTAACTTTTAACAGGCAGCATTTTCAAAGTGACAGCCGATGCCAGAAGGCAATGTAGATTTCCTCTCTCTCTCTCTTTCTACCTCCCTCTCTCCACCCTTTCTCTCAATTTCAAGATTTTCTTCTCATCTACCTCTCTCTCTCCACCCTCTTTCCCTTCAATCTCTTTCTCTCTCTATCTACCTCCTTTCTCTCTTTTTTAAAACTGCACTTGTGTAAACGCTTATGTTCGCACTCAATCCAAAAAATCCATTTTCGCGCCAAACAGGCTCCAAATTTGGTACGTACGTTTGCAAGAAAGTTTTCGTAGGCATTTCAATACCTCTCTATCCAAGAATACCATCTCGTTTTCGAAAACAAGCACCTTCCTTTGTTTTCTACCGAAGGGAAATTGTTTTTCTGAAGAAATTTTTCAAGTCACTGATGTTTTTTTAACCCATTCCACCCGGCGATTTCTCATGTTAATTAAGATAAAAAATACTCAAGGAACAAATTTTGATTAATAATTTTCTAATAGTATTCACTGGAGGTAAGACATATGGCGCCAGCTTTCGATTCAGAAGCCCTAAAATGAGAATAATTTTATTCCTTATAATTTCTTTTTCTGCTGATAAGCAAAATTTCAACATGCCTTCAAGTATTCTCTGTTTCAACTATGGAGCCGACATAGCATCTTATTTCGTTCACTAAGGATTTTTACAGTGTTCCTCAAATAGAAAGCGCTGTTTATTTTAGAATGGTATTCACTCTGTCTTAGGCCCAAGATCCGCTAGATGTAAAGGATTACAAACAGAAACTCAATCCTAAACAGGAAACAAGAGAAAAACTTCTAATCCTGGGGAGGATTGAATCGGACAACATATAAACCTATCTACTCCTATTGAGAAAAGAAAAGTAATTAATTGATAAATAAAATGTTTCGTTGAGATTTTAGAAGTATAGAGTTGAAGTAGACATTACAAGGAACCGGAACCGCCAATCCTAATTTCTTCCACGGAGGAGGCACGGTGGAGTAATGGATAGCATTTCGCCCGAGTTCGAATCCCAGTCAAATTCATTACATTCACTTTAGTCCTAATAACCTTTGAAAGGTATACATTCTCTTCTTTTCCCTTCCAGCTATGGGTAAACAACAGGACAGACTGGGTTCTATAGCCTTGATAGCAACTACTCTACCGCAGAAAGAAATGGCAACGTGATTGCGGGAAAAAATCCGCCTTGTCAGTCAGAGAAAGAAATATGATCGCCTTTCATAACTTGATCGCAGAATTAGAAATTCCATTGACGGATGATACAGATATCAGTTTTCTGGATCTCCAGAATACCAAAAATTTACTTCGATGAATATAGAAAAAGAGTTTCTTCTTTTTTTGTTTGTTTCCCTTCAGGATATGAGCGATCATAACTCTTATCCTTTGTAAATCTAAGTTTGATTGCTCCTTTAATATCCTTCCTGGTTTATGTTCTGCGATCCATTTATTGGATCACGTTTGGTTAGTTACTGATGTTTCCCTTTGTCGCTTTTTTTTCCATTATGTTCTGTGTGTGTCATATTCTCCTAACCCGCTTTCCTCATTATTCGTCCCAGAAATTTCAACGGCCTCTTTTGTGATTCAGATTACAATTGTCCTTTTTGTTTTATTTTCATTAAAACATCCTCGTTGATTTTAATCTCCATAGTTTCCATCGCTTCAAATTCCTCTTTATCAGTGAGAAAACTGTCCCGTATCCGCTTCCATAGGGAAGGATTGACATTATATTACTCTTCAACTTTTTCTTTTTTCAAACGAAATTTTCCTGTTTCTTAATACTTTACTTAAAATTTTTTAATCCCCAACTACTTCCGCTATTTCAATTTGTTTCCTTCTTCTGTCGTCTTACATTGATAGTCTTTTCTTAAAAAATTTCCTTTACTACCTTAGCAAAAGCAAAAGAAAATAGAATCTACCTCGACTTATTTTACAACTGTTAATTAGATTGACAAACTGTTTAAGAAATACAATCACGAGAAATTCATTAACGACAAGTCTTATTAAAAACAAAATTATTGAAAAGAAAAAAAAAATAGAATTGTCCTGAATAGGCCATTTAAAATATTAAAAATATTTAGTAATTAAATAAATGAAAGTATTTTTTAATTACCAACGATTTTATTCCAACCAATAAGTCTACAGAATAATTTATATAAAAATTAAAAATAAAAAATATTTGGAGAAAAAAAATCTAGTTTTATTTTCTGATTCAATCATAATTTTCCGCATCTTAAAATTAAATTTTCTGTCGATTTGATTTCTCTAGGAATTAATTTAATAAAGTAAATATTCAGAGTTCATATTATATATTTAAAGATTCAAAAAACAAATTAAAAAACCAGTTGAGATTGGCTTTAAATTTCCGTCATTTTTTTTTTTACATTTATACTTTTCATAAGTAAAATCAATCATAAATAAATAGTTATACAATAAATACAACACGGATTGGAGCGTTATTCTGTATTTTCAACGGTGATCTTTAGTAAAAAAAAAACATATGTGAAAACAACGTTTATATGTAAGTAGGGTCCGCCAATACCTAATACCAAATACCTAATACTTATATGAATTCTTTAAAAAATGAAAAATCTTTCGATTATTTTAGTTTTAATTTCAAACGAATAGATTAAAGTTTGTCTATATTTCTGAGATGAGGTATTATGTACAGTATTTACATTAGTCGGACTATTGTCCTCATCTTTGTCGCCATATTTGTCACAACGTTTCGGCCGTTGTACGCTCCGGCCTTCTTCAGGTGGTTGGAATTTCGAACTGAACCCTTTATTTCGATCGCTGGGGTAGACTGTTCTAATTCCACGTGCCATGTTTGATGGATGTCAGTTATCAGTTATCTCCTGCTCAATATGAGCACTGGTAAAAATGATGCTGAAAACATTAGGTTTATAATACTCAGAAGTTCATACCCAGATGTCCTCAAGGACACATGGCACAGTGGATAAAGGCGTTGGTTAGATCCAGTGACAGACCCAAAGAAGGTGAGTTCAATTCCTGGTTAAGGCAGTGGAGAACTTTCAGAGGGAAAATTAGCAGGAGATAACTGATAACTGACATCCATCAAACATGGCACGTGGAATTAGAACAGTCTACCCCAGCGATCGAAATAAAGGGTTCAGTTCGAAATTCCAACCACCTGAAGAAGGCCGGAGCGTACAACGGCCGAAACGTTGTGACAAATATGGCGACAAAGATGAGGACAATAGTCCGACTAATGTAAATACTGAATAGATTAAATTTCTTATTAACAATCAGCAATGTACTTTGCTGTATTTTTTTTTTTAATTTTGAAATTGATTACGATTTTTTCATTTCTAAAATCGCTAATTTTAGCCATATTTAGGATTCTCTCGACGCAATGTAATTGTATTTATTAAAACATCTTTCAAAATAAATTATAGTTATCTTGAACTTTATTTGAGGAAGATTTAAAGTTTAATCTTATTTGAAAGAAATATTAGTTTAGTTTAAGATAAGGCAGAAAAGCATTTTAACAGGGACGTGGGTGATTTTAAGAACTGCTGACAGCTCTATTGACAGCCTGATGTTTGGGAAATTTACCTGCTGTATATTGTTGCGTGTAAGGCGACCTTTAGATAAGACGAGGTAAAAAAAATATGGCAAATTTTCATTAATTTATCTTATACCTGTAGTATAAGATGACTGCTTATTGATTATACAATGATGATGTTATTGGAAATGTTGTTACTTATTGTATCCTTAGAAATTCAAAATAAACGAAATAACAACAACGATTCTATACCATGTTTTTTTTACACGCGTCATCTAAAATGGAAACGATTGTTTTGTTTACGTTTCATCACGTGATCTGTTGCGAATACTGATTCTTCTTGTACTTTTCCTCTTCTTTTCTTATATATAAACACTTACAAACAGCCTGATGTAATATTGGCATTTACTTATACTTTATAGACAATCACAAAATACATGTAATAACATTACGATAATGTACGATAATAGTACACTTCACTTTTATTGAAAGTGCAGCGAAAGATAAAAAAAGGTTACTGAGAACGCATTCATAACTCGATGTTGACATTTTCTCAGCTTAGCTTGCATGGACACAAGTTCATTTCATTGTTATGAAATTATTCTTCGAATAGGCAATTTATTATGTAGTTATGCCAGTAATATATAAGATAGAAATGGTTTTATTACTTTTTTTATATCAGTTTATTTGATAATGTGAATCTTTTCCTGTATGTTATAATAAATTAGCCTACCGACAAATATCGCTCAGATTTTAAGGTTTCATTTTTAGAATTGCAGCATAATCTGACCCCCAATTCTTATGATGATTTTTGAATTTAAAGGTCGTCTTATCCGCAGAAATATACAGTATTTTTTTTCTACAGGGGGACATATCTGTAAAAATGATTAGACAAATATAACATGAACGCCATTTTTATATAATTCTTTAACTACCCAGTAATCTTAAAAAATGATTTATTGAATTTTAGGTAATTTAAATTTACTATAGTTACTGCTGTTATTTTCTGATAATGTCATGTATAGACGTCCGTATTTACAAAAATCAGCACGTTTATACACGCACAAAAAAATCAAAATATCTTTATGGAAATACTGAATTGCCGTTAGCTATTCCATTTATGACTATAAAATATAATTTTTACTTAAGGACAATGTTACCTAACCACTACAAATTAATACAGAATTTTAAAAAGTTTTAAAATTTATAAATTATTCAAATTAAAATTTTAAAAATTGAAACAGGTCTTGTAAAAATTCATTATTTAATGATTTTTTTAAAAAACAAAAGGGTTTCAAATATATCTTATTCATAAAAAGCAATTAAAAGCTTTTCTAATTAAATAGTGTCTTAGTTTTATTGCATTTTTATTTTAAGATTCAGAGCATATTTTCGATGAGTTGGGGCTGTGTTTTACAAAAGAAACTGATACTTAAATTCTCCAAAGACTTCTACTTATAACTGATAAAAAGCATTAAGCCGTACAAAAAATAATTTTTCTAAATTTCATAAAATTAAATAAGTTTGAGGTATAGTAGATGTAAATATTATTTTAAGAAAATTTTCTAAAAAAACTTTTAAAAATAATTTCGTTTATTTGTGAATGAGTCCTGAAAGTTTCATTAAAATTCGTCAATTATCTGATTTTTGCAAGAATTTCCAAATCAATGTTTTCATCACAAAAAAAAAAAATTAAAATTTCATATTACTAATTTATGGTCAACCACTGACGCAAGAAAAAAAAGTTTTTTTATAAAATTTTGAATGTTCTAAAATGGACTAAAATGTCATTAATAATCAATAAATCCTTTGACCCTTCCTCTTGATAATAATATTATAATAATTTAACGATAAAACTTTTATTAATTTTAGGCTATTATTTCATCATCTATGATCATTTTTTAGCGAACCTTTGGAGTTAAATATATGCCGTATTTTCAGGCTTATATGACGCACTTTTTCCGCCTAAAAAATACCCCTAAAAATACGATTAAAAATTCCAAGGCAACGCCCTTGCTCAATTAATCTTGGACAGTCACTTAATTGGCTTGACTGATTGGGATGTGAATTTGTATGTTGAGTCATTACACTATAATGTTAGTTATCTATCTAATTCAGCCTTTTATATGATGTAACCTCACTACTTAGCTGCTATAAGTAATTCTAAGACTATAAACTTTCCTGGAGCCGAGCCACAAACCTAAACATGGTCTGTTTACTAGCAGCGGTGGGAGCCTTTCTGTTCTTGACTAGTATGCCATTGCCATATGAATAAATTCCAGTGAGTGAAGGATGCATGCTGGATGTTTTGTTGTATGAGAATAACTTTTTTTTTTTTCTTAGAAATTTCTTTCCAATATAGGGTGCGTCTTCCAAGCCGCAGCGTCTTGTAAACCGGAAAATACGGCATAAGATGTATTCAAAAAATATCCGGTCATTTTGAATTTTATGTAAACCGGTAACTTGAAAGTTAGTCTTATAACAATGTATACCGGATTTATGAAAAGACACTGCCATGGAAGTTATTTGTTAGTCGTCTATGAAATATTACCGAATTCGCGTGTGTATCGGTGAGCATTTTATTTATCAAAAAAAATGAGCCTCCCCAGTTTCTTCACATCAATTGCTGAGTATTTTGGCAAAATTTTCAATTTCTACTGTCTTAACAGTCTTTTTTTTTTTAATCTACAATTCGCTGCCGAAAGATTTTAGACTATGGACGAGATTAAAGAGAGCGTGACGAGACAGCTGATGATGATCCTGAAGGATGACTTCACAAACTGCTTTAAAAAACTGTAAGTGACGTCAGCGTATGTATTTCCAAAAGTAGTGCCATCATTGCTCTAGGTATACGTATTTGTTAAGTGGTTCTTACTCTTGTAAAAGTGTAAGATTATATAGCTTAAACTTTCATTGGAAGTTTAATGTCGAATAAGCGTTCGAAGACCGACACTGGTCCTGGGAGATAGAGTACAAAATCTATTTCAACCACAAAGTAGTCTTTTCTTTAATTGTGTAACATGCTTAGATGATTGTGAAGATATCTACCAAGATTAACTCGGCCTGACGTCAACTCACGCGTGCAGGGGAGTGAATTCACTTTAAATGCTTCAATATAAATGATTTATTCCAGCCGGGTCTGTAACGTTCACTTCGTACAGATACATTCGAGAAAAGCATGAATCCATCCCTGCCCACCCCAATTATATATTAAATAGTACACTAAACTGAATTCTCTAGCCTTGCTTAGCTGCCAGTCTAGGAGACGAACAGCTCTAAATTCAAAATCTAGGAGAAGGCAACATGAAAAAAACTTATTTTATCTTTCCCAAGTAGTCATGGCAACTCACAGATAAAAAAAATGAAGAATCTGGGCCCAAACCTGTGCCTATGTCCTAAAAGAGACTTTGCTTACAAATTATCATTCTTCGACGCTATAAAGATATAAAGATTTTTATGAATTATTGACATTAATATTCTTATCTTTGTTATTTTTTTACTAGAAGGCTTTCAGCGGATGTATTTTCCAACCTTCCTTGTGATATGTTAACATCCGGTAAGTCTTGACTATAATCAGTTTATTTTAAATCGACACTTTTTTTGAAAAGTTATTAATATAAAACACGAAATGTTGACGTGCAGATGTGTGAATTGTTGCAATTAATTTAGATAAAAATAATAATAAAGGAAAACAAGCAAAAATAAATTTTATTTATTTTAAAAATTATTACAAGGTCACGGGACTAAAGTAACTTGTATGCACAGATTTTTTATAACATGTAGGACAGAGGCGATTACCATTCTCCGCAGACTGTTTATTATTATTATTTGTTTTTTCGCATTATTATTTACTTTTTTTTTTCAGTATTATTATCATTGTTATTATTACTATTACTATTATTATTATTATTTATTATTATTTGTTTATTCTTTTCATTATTTTCTTACTATTAATAGCATTATTTTCTTTTACTTTTCATTACTATTATTATATTTTCATTATCATCATTATTATTACTATCATTATTATTATTAATAATTTTTTTATCTTATTATTTGTTTATTCTTTTCATTATTTTCTTACTATTAATAGCATTATTTTTTTTTACTTTTCATCATCATCATTATTATTATTATTATTATTTTCAATTATTATTTTCATCTTTTTTTTTTTCATTGTTTTTATTATTATTATTATTATTATTATTATTATTATTATTATTATTATCCTTTCCTTTTTTCTTTCTTACTTTCATTATTATTTTTATTATTATTATTATTAGTAGTAGTAGTAGTATTTTCTTATTTTCATTGTTATTATTATTAATATTTCCTTTGATTTCTATTGTATATTCATTTTACTGGACCTCAATCAGAGATCTAAGGTCAGAAATGGTTTTACATTTTCCACTGATCATTTTTTAAAAAAAAAAAAAAAAAAAATCTAAGTTCACACGCATTTTACATAGATAAAGCTCTTCGTAATCTACGAGCTGTATTTGTGAGTACACTTTTTTTATTTTCTTTCAGGCATGAGCTACAAGGAATCCCTTTGGAACTCTTTTTTCAAGCAATCTGATGACCCCCAAATACATCTGGAATTATTGATATTCTCATGTGACACATTTTTTTTTTTAATTTCCACTTCAAGATCCTTTTATTTTGATATTTTATGAAGATCTTCAAAGATACATTAAAATCTGCAGGGATTATCATGTCGATTAGAAAAGCAGATTCTGTTCTTGTGGGTTTTGATCACGATGTCTCTGGCGATTAGATTTGATTGTTCTGTTTGTGTGTATTGTAAAGTCTCATAAAACTGTTTCCGGTTTTATCTCTGTAAATGTACATGCGTGATGTACATAGCAGTTTTTTAATTTCCTTCCGTAAAAGTTGCCTATTTTCCAGCGCAAATATTGGCCCAATCTATCATCCCGTGTTTTATATTCAGTGGGTGCTAACACTGCGCAACCTGCTACAAGATGGTAATTTGTTTCTGGATATTTATCACATAATCTGTATTTCCGATTAACACAATTTTTCAGTATGTGTGTTTGGTAATTTCTAGTTAGCAAGCGTTGGTCCTGTGCAGCAAGAACAAAGCCTTCGATTTCAGCATTTAACCCTACACTACGCAACCACTGAAACGTACGGAGTTTGTCTTCATCATTTTGATTGGTACGGGCAAACCATGACAAGGCTTATCTTGATATTGTTTCTGCATTTGTTTTTTGCATTCTTTTTTAGGTTCTTTGCCACTGCTGTAGGTGTATTATGGTTTATTTGCTCTTCTTCATTCACTTGAAATTCCCTTTAGAATTACTGAATAAATTTTTTATTTCTTTCATGTTTTTTGACACAGATCAGCATCTGTAGTTTCTACGTATCTTTGAAGACCGATTGTTGTGGTTTTATAAAAAGAGTTCTAGTTGAACTAATCCTCTGCCTCCTTCAGATCTGGATACATATAGACGATTAACATCAGTCTTAGGATGATGCATTCGATAGCAAGGAAGCTTTCTCGTTTAGGCATCCATTCGCTTAATTTCTGCTATGGTCCAATTAAGGATATTGAAACTGTATTGCCCCACAGGGGAAACCAGTGTTTATAACTGATATTCTGTTTTGTGAATTCAACTCCATATTCAACATCAGACGCACACTCCGGTAGTCCTCTTTTTTTACTTTTTTAATTCATTTGTGTAGGCTGTATTCTATCTCCTTCACTAACTCCTAGATATTTATAGGCTTGTACTTGTTCCAGTTCCCTAATCTTTGTGACAAAATCTCGATGTATTTTGTGTGTGTGTCTATAATTCTCCTTTTCTTTTAATGTTAATTTTGCACATTTATCTAAGTCAAGATCTATACCTATGTCCTCATTGAAACATTTTACACTATTGAGTATAATCTTTCAACTCATTGTTGTCTTTAGAGTTTGATATCAGCATTTTCCCTACACCATGTTCTCTACAATGCCGAGTGCAGCATTTTCTCCCAGTAGACCCCAAACTTTCTTTTTTCAGCAGGCCTCAACATTTTCTCTACAGCAGACCTCAGCATGTTGTCTACAGCTGACCCCAGCATTTTTCTCTACAGATGACCCCAGCATTTTCTCTACAGCAGACTCCACCATTTTCTTTTTAGTAGGCTTTTGCATTTTCTACAGCTGACCCCAGCATTTTCTTTTACAACAAACCACAGCATGTTCTCTACAGCTGCCCCAGAATTTTTCTACAGATGACCCCAGCATTTTCTCTACAAGGACCCCAGTATTTTCTATACAGCCGACCCCAGCATTTCTCTACTGCGGACCCCAGCATTTTCTATACAGCCGACCCCGTATTTCTCTCTCAGCGGACCCCAGATTTTTTTTGTACAGCCGACCCCAGCATTTCTCTACTGCGGACCCCAGCATTTTCTATACAGCCGACCCCAGTATTTCTCTACAGCGGACCCCAGATTTTTTTATACAGCCAACACCAGCATTTCTCTACAGCGGACCACAGCATTTTCTATACAGCTGACCCCAGCATTTCTCTTCAGCGGACCCCAGCATTAGGCTTTCGCAATGATTTCTAAAATATGAGCCGAAGTTTCTCGAAAATTTATGCATATTGCTTTGAGGCCGCGCGGAACATTAAAAAAAAATAATTACAGAAAATCGAAGTTCATCGCGCAGTTTCCCGAGCACAATTATAGGATGTCATCTAACACCGTGACTCTTTCTAACCATTTAGGACTAAATATTCACGGTACCCTTGTTTTGTTTTACTTTTGATTTTTTTTTTTTTTGTATTTTTATTCATTTCACCCCAAGCAAGGTAACAAAACCACTAAGACGCAGAGTAAAGAAAACATTATTAAATAGCAAGAACCTTAAAAAGAACAGAATATAGGAAGACAGATGATGACCATTGACATTGCGTTTAAATTTTTGACGATCAAACTTAACTGGAAAGCAAGAATTCGGAAGAGAGTATCACAAGCGAGAAGTACGAGAAAAGGAACTGTTAGCATAAAACTTAGAATTACATATAACTAATTCAACTGTAAAATGATAAGATCTTGTTACAAATTATAAAAATGTGTCGACACGGTTAAATTATTTCTTTCTGTTTTCCCCATCATCACGGTGTTTATTTGGTATGGTACGATTGTTTTTTTCAAATAATTTTCTCTGGGCCACATTGTTTTCCCATGTAAATAAACATGGCCCGGAGAAAATCATAGAGAACGTTTATTTAAACAAGCGCTCTTATTTTATGAGGTGAAATATTCTTACCAGCATAACTATTCCAGATTCCAGTATTTATCACAAAAAGAGTACATAGTTGTTGCGTATAAATAACGGCTATTTATCCGCATAATTTATTGTTTCAGTCTGTCAATGATCGGGGCTTTGCAGCTGATCTACGTTTAACAGCTCAAAGGGGAATAATTAGCTTGCAATTTTCAATGTCTTCAAAGCCAACCTAAAATTTTTTTCATCATCGTCGATCAGACACTGAGTTTTCTCCAGTCACGATGAAGGATAACACTCTCAACGAGGCCCTATGGTTTGAACGCTTATTGGGTATCAACTTCTTCACCAAGGCCTCAAGCGGAAATCATATTGTTGTGGTAGGATCCACCTAATTTGCATAGTGGAGTACCGACCATATAAATATGGTTGGTACCGGGAAGACAGACATAAAGGAATCAAGAGATTCATTCCAGAGACTCTGCCCAACTGCGACTAAGTCAACACATTCTCCAGGAACGGTCTGCCCAAGAATATACCAAAGACTATATGTAAATATTGTGTACACTTTCTTGTTTCAATACATTTTGATCTAAGTACATTTTTGTTGTATTATTATTCCATGCATTAGTTAAGTTTCAACACATATATAGAACCAATTTCAAAAGATGCTGGAAAAATGTTTAGATCATTCTATCGCTCGGGGATCTATCTGGTCCCTTCTGCCATTATTCATCTTTACTAAAGTCAGATTAGATCAAATACGGTATACTGCTGACATACCTTGGTTGGTGCTGCTCAGTCCTAGATTTCCAGCCTTGATAGGAGTTCAAAATTTTTGACGTCGTCCTGTGGGAGAAGACTTATTTCCCACTCTCGGAAGCCTCTTTCCCTACAGACGCAAATTTACAAGCCGTTCGCTATTCTATCGTAGCTTCAATGACTAAAAGTTCGGACGACCTCCATTCTTTAGTTCCCCTACCTTGAGTTCAAACCGTCACACCTAGAACATACCGGGGCACTTCTACAGATGGACTCGAATCATCATCATTTCATCCGTGTTTCAAATGCAAAAATGCCTCATTGTGCCACGCGGTTTCTTCTAAGAACAATCTAATCTTGACCTCTTCAAGTCAAGAGTTAATCTTAATCTGTTTTCCTTATCCTCATAATCTTCACTGCTTACCGCTTTTGCCCTTCCATTCATGTCATACTCCTCGTTTACCATAACCATTTTAACAGAAACCTTGAATGTCTCTCGGGCATTGTGTGAAAATTTAGTCTAAAAATTATGATTGAATCTAATGATAAGTAGATTCCATCTAATAAGTTATATTAAGTTTTGAGATGAATATAGATTTATTTCATATGCCTAAGTCATTAATATGCATAAGAATTTATGGAAATTAGTCATTACGGCCATTTTTTTTCATAAAAATGGTTGACTTGTGTTAGACATTTTCATGACGGTCGTTCTCGAGTATAGAATCGAGAGGTTGGCAGTGAATATTTCGGAGACAGTAGGAAAGCGTAGTGCAGGTTCGCAGTGGATATCGCAGCAAGGTAGCAGAGCGTAGTTCTTCCGTCTGTCATGTTCGCCGGACAAGTTTCTTCTGGCCCTTCTGGTGAGAAAACAAAGATGGCCGCCTTTATACACGACGGATACAATGTTCAGCGGCTTCTGATTGGTCAACCTTCTATTGGTAGACTATAAAGGGAAATAAGTCATTTTGACTCGCTCACTAGTTATGTATAGTATATACCCAAAAACCGTAACAACTTGTTTAACCGAAATATGAATACAAT